GGGCTTTATCCCCTGTGCCTGGATTCAAAATGTTTGCCATAAGCCTGAATTCTTGGCTATCTTAATTTGGTCATTAAGTTTGGCCTTGAAAGCTTTCGATGGAAAGTACCCTGGCTTGGGTCAGGGGCTCCTTCGTCCTTCCAGGAACATCGTGCTTTTCAATAGTCTAAAGAGATCTTGTGCAGCTGATTTACCTAATGCAGTGCGTTTTTGGAGTTCTGATGCCATGAGCATTGATTGTAGATCCAAGTAAGATAAAATCCTAAATATTTGACCTAAGAGAGCAGGCAAATATATATATGTATGTATATGTATGTATGTATATGCACACACAACAGTATTTACTGCAATGTGATTAAGCAGGCCTAATTGTAAGTTGGTCATTTTGTGTGACTGGAGAATGCATTACAAACATCAATATGGAAAAAATATATAGATAAGTGAAAAAGGAACTGGGAATGAGGGGAGACTCCACGAATGACCACTCTTATTCCACAATGGACCTGAAGCCCCAGCTAGAGCAAAGGAACAAGAAAGAGGAATCAAAGGGCTCCAAATGAAAAGAAATCAGTCAATCAATCGGCATGGAAATGGCCTAAATCTGCTCCCCCAGCGCTCCCCCACTCCTGGCCCCGCCTCTGGGTTTCTGCTGGGTGCCTGTCACTTCCCCCTGCGGCTTAGCATCCCGCCCCAGGGGCGGGGTTCCTCTGCTGGAGGACTGCCAGCCTGTGTCCAGCCACTTTGCAGAGTGCCGGTCCGGTCCGAGATGGGGCTCCTGGAGCTCTTTAGGTTCCTGGTCGCCTCTGTCTTCGCGGGGTTCGCCAGTGCCAGGGGTGAGTGTTTCTTGCAAGGCGGGGGGGCCCCAGGGTGGGGTCGCAGGGCTCGGGGAGCATTGCTGCGGCTGCAGTGAGCGCACTGGGTCTGTCCAGCTGCAACCGGACTTTGCCTTGACCGGTTCTTAGGTGCACACCGGGAAAACTTTCCTGAACTTTCTGGTGTTCTCGCCCATGTCCCCCTCCCCACCTGCACCCCTGCCCCTCTCTGGGGTTCCTGCTGAGTGGCTGTGCCCCGCCCTGGGGCTCGTTCACCAGTAAGGAGGCGCCTTGGCCAGCGCCCCTCCAGGAGTCGGGGTTCCTCTGCTTCCTCTGTCTGGCCGCCCCAGGACACTGGTGTCCAGACACTTCACAGAACTTTCTGA